CGGTGAGACAACTGCCTGGCTTACTTATTCCGAGTGCTGATCCTGCTGCATGTCGGTGTAGATTGAGTCCTGTTGGTGCAACTCCGAGGCCTTCGAGTCCCCATTGTACATGTGGCTGGGCACCTGTCCTATGGAGCTTGTGGGCTTCTTTCGTAACCCTCAGGAGCCCCCTCATGTTTTCGGCCCGCTTGAACCCGAGACGCTGCCGAGCCCGACGGACCTTGAGGTACCTGCGCCTCCCCACCGTGGAGTCTAACCCGAGATCCCTGGTACTGAGCTTGTTCTGTAGGGGAATGTCTCTGGCCTGGCAGTCCACGACTCTCTGCGCTCTGACCTCCTTGTCGTTCGAGAGGAGGGAGGACTTGGGGGAGAGCCTGCAGAATCCTCCGCCTCCTCCTCCTCCTCCTCCTCCTCCTCCTCCTCCTCCTCCTCCTCCTCCTCATCATCATCATCATCATCATCATCATCATCATCATCATCATCATCATCATCATCATCATAGTCCTCCTCCTAACGGCGAACGACGAATGGCGAACGACGACAAACGACGAACGACGGACGACGGAAGACGGACTATGAGCGACAAAGGTCGGGGGAGGAAAAGAGATACCGATGGCGCTGCTCATCCTGCAGAACCCTCGTCACCACGGCGGGATTATCCTCAAAGTTCTGGGGAAAAGTGCACCCCAGGAGAGAGGTTCGAGGAGCAGCGGCGTCGGTACCATTTTCGCCCCCCCCCCGGAGGGACGAGAAACGACGGACGAGGAGGGGAGGAGGACGACGACACCGAACGACGTTGACTGACGGCGAACCACGAACGACGCACGACGGCCGACGAGCGACGGTTGTTCTTTGGTCGGCACGTGTTCGGCCTCTGTCCGACTCTCGTCCTTCGCCGGAGGAGACGGAAGAGAAGAGGGAGCCGTGCGGGAGGAAAGAACAGAAGAGGGAGAAGGGATTCAGCCAGCGCTCAAGACGGAGGCGCACATGTCATGGCTCTGACGCTGCCAACGAAGCCGACGTGGGATCCAGAGAGGACGGAGAGAGGAGGGAGGGAGGGGGAGTAAGGGATGCGGGAGGGAGGGGGTGTTGGTTGGCTGGTTAGACCCTTTCGCATCAAGAGTGAGTCCGCGGGCACGGCCTCTTTAGAAGGACAACTGGGCGGAGTGAACCTGCGGCCGCGGCTTCTTTAGAAGGGACAAGTGGGCGGCAAGCGACGCCGAAAGGCCGCTGGACGACCAGGCACGAAAGGAAGAGAGGGGAGGACCCACGCGGAAGCCCGCAGGACTCGACGCAGGTGGGCTCTGCCAGTTCCTGCCTCGTCGCGCGGCGAGGCACCACGCAGATGGCAGCATGCGCGAAGGACCAGGATCAGATTCCCCTCTCTGGTGGTAGGCCCAGCCGCGGAGAAGGCGACGACGAACAGACGACGGCAACTAGGAGGGCGCCGACGACAACGACGAGCAGACAGCTGACGCCGACGGCACTGGCAGCAGAGGAGAGGTGGGGAGAGGAGGAAGGAGGGCCTCCTCCTCCTCCTCCTCCTCCTCCTCATCGTGCCCCTCCTCCTCCCCCTGCTCCTCCCCCTCCTCCTCCTCCTCCTCCTCCTCCTCCTCCTCCTCCTCCTCCTCGGGGCAGGGGGAGGGCAGGGAGGGGAAGGGGGAGAGGAGAGCGCTCTGACTGCGCTGCGCCCAGAACCGGTCCGCTTGGCGCTCCGCCTCCGCGGCCAGCAGCAGCGCCACCTCACAGCCCGCCTGGCCCAGGCGGCAGCCCCGCAGGACCGCTGACGTCCTGGGTCATCGCCGGGCGCAGCTCGACGCACGGGAGTTGAAGCATGTGCTGCTCGGCAGCCTGGACCCACGCAGCAAGGCACCTGGCATCCACTCGATCACGGGCATCCGCCTCACAGGCCGCCAGCGTTTTCTCCTTGTGGGACAGCAGTCCGACGGCTCAGTCCGGCAGACCGAACCAGAGGAGGAGGGCACCTGAAGCCTTGGCCCATGTCTCACCAACACCCCCGTGCGCGAGGAGGACGACTTCCCTGTAGAGGTCCGAATCTGGGATGCCCACAGGGACGCACGCCCCGGGCGGCTACTTCCACCGCAGCAGAACCCGATTCAGACCGCGTCCACCCCATCTCCCCCGTGGCGAGTTGGCGCCCGCGCCCAGGAGGAACCGAGCCCGCAGCTCGCGGGACGCGTCCTGCGCCGCATCGCTGGCAGCGTCGGACGCCTAGAGCCCGCGCCCGAACCTTAGGCCCTCCTCAGTCTGGGCCTCGAGCAGAGCAGCCGCAACGGCCAGAGGAATGCCACGCCTGGCGACGTGGCCTGCAAGTGGCGCCACCTAGGAGGCCGCAGCCCCGAGACGCACAGCAGGCCCAGTCATTTGTGCTGGGAGACAGCGCAGGCGTCCACGGCGGGGCCCTGTCAGTTGCAGGCCCAGCGCGGGATGGGGTCCTGGCGCCTGGACCGCCGCCAGCCCCCCAGAGACCACCACTGCTGGCGGCGCGCAAGTAGGGGTGTAAGGGGGAGGGGGAACGGCTTCTAAGAAGCAGCGGTGCTTCTGAGACGCCTTGCCCCATACCCCTTCCCCCCTTCTGCGCGTGGCCGATACAACGTGTTTCGAGGCACCTGTTTGGGGGCTGGGCGTTGTCGTCGTCGTTGCGTCGTCGTCGTTGCGTCGTCGTCGTCGTCGTCGTCGTCGTCGTCGTCGTCCTCGTCGTCGTCGTCCTCGTCGTCGTCGTCGTCGTCATCGTCGCCGTCCTCGTCGTCGTCGTCGTCGTCGTCCTCGTCGTCGTCGTCGTCGTCGTCGTCGTCGTCGTCGTCGTCGTCGTCATTGCGTCGTCGTCGCCCACTCGGTTCACGCCGACGAGCGGCGCCCGCGCCGCCTCTCGGCACGGAGATCGGCAGGGCCAGGCCGCCCACGCGGAGCACCGCCACGGGGCGCCCCGGGGGCGACTTGGCCCAACGCCTGGAAGTCTGCCGCCGACGAGTTGGGCGCGAACTCATAGGGGCGATAGACTGGGTGGGAGAAAAGGTGCCCTCTTCGGGCCCTGACGGCCTCCTGCGGGGCCCTAAAGCGACCCGCCCTTTCATGTCAGCTTGCGATTAGCAAACGGGCGCCTCCCCCTTTTCGGGGTTGGTGGATAGACCCCAGCAGGGCGCGACATGTGTTTAGACAGGAGGAGGAGAAGGAGGAGGAGGAGGAGGACGACGACGACGAAGAGGAGGGGGCAGGAGGAGGAGGAAGAGGACGAGGAGGAGGAGGACAAGAAGGAGGAGGAGGAGGAGAAGGAGGAGGGGAAGGAGGAGGAGGAGGAGGCAACGGGGAGGAGGAGGAGGAGCACACTCTCCGCAGGAGCGCGGGTCAGCCGCCCGCGGCAACTTACCCGAGTCTGGGCATGGGCACCGCCCGACGGGCCTCACTGGCCTCCGAGCGGCAGGTGCACGGGCGAGCCCGCGCGCACGGGGCCCAGGTCACTCCTCAGCGCCTAAGCCCCGACCGTGCCCTTGATCACGACGTGGTCAAAGGGCCTCACCTGGTACAGCAACGCACACACACACACACACACACACACACACACACTGCACGTTCACGGGCGGGATGTGCGGCCGAACCCCTCGCCGCGCAACGGATAGGAGGACGCCGAATTCCCTGAGCTGCATCCTAGCTGCACACGCGTCCTCGGATGCCTCTGATCCATAACTAAGTTGATGGCCGCCTTCTGCGCCGAGCGGGTGCGTGCACCCTGCGAAGACCCAGGACATACTGCATTCAGCCCGACAGCGCGGCCACCACCGATACAAAACCTTGTACACTTCTTGCACATCGTGATCCGGCCGAAGACGCACGGCGCATGGCCCAGCTCACGAAAGTGCCTGAGGGCTCCAGGCTCTGATTGCCACGGAACCTGCTCTTCCTTCTTGGGCGGCTTGTTCACAGGCGCGACTTGAAGGTGACCTCGCAGCTCATCACCTCGTAGGCTCGCAGTACTTGAACCCCCCCTTAATTCGCAAACTTCGCAACGAATGATCCGTCCGCGCAGTCGCGTTGCACTCCCGGCATCTCCAGCATCGTGGCTCACTAGGGTCAGGATTGTGCCATAACTCGTGGTACTCGATGTTCGCCGCTGGTATCTTGGCTGGGCCAGCTTTGGTCGACCCATTCCGCTCGAGCTTCTGCGCCCACTCCGCGCGTCGCTGCGCCAACTTCCCCAGAATGGTAATCGCGTCCACCGAGTTACCGGACTTCATCTTGCAATCGCGCACGAAGCTCTCTGGGAGGAAGACGTCGTCCCTGCCCAGGCCCGCGAAGAAATCCCCCCACCGATTCCCGATCCAGTCGACGAGGTCACACTCCTTCCCCACCGCCTGGTCATACGAAAGATGGGGTCCTTGCCGGCGAAAAATGGGCCTCTCCTCTCCTTTGGTCAGCTCCATCATCTGTCTCCAGAACCCAGCATGATTAGCACGAGCCCCTGCGTTGATCGTTCCGTCGCGCTTGGGCTCGTTGACCAGTGAGAGGTGACCCGTGACCACGATAGCTGGCTCCGCCGCAACCTTCAGCGCTTGGGCCGCCGCGCGTCGGAAACTGACTGGTTGGGCCCAGGGGCTCCACCGTATCTTGCTCTGCACGGCCACCCTTGACTGCCAAGCTCGACCGCCGACCAGCCACTTCTCCTGCACGCAGGGAAGTTGGAGTGGAACGCCGCGTCATCTGTATAGACCTGGCTTCCCCACAGCGTGGCCTTTCTCGTCGGAGACGGTGAAACCCACCATCGTGATCGAGCACACTCCTCATGCAGAGACTGACGTCCTGGTCGCAGCCCAGGTCCCGAGTCGATCCGCCAAGCGTCAGCACTTTCTGTCAGCCCAGGCCCCAGGTTCCTTCGAGCCACGCCCTGCAAAAGGCAAAGACGAGGGCAGCCCGAGACGGCCTCCCCAGGCCCGCTCAGCAGGGGACGCGCCCACACCAGAGGACACCCTGACCCAAGAGTCCCCAAACGCGTTCTGACCACACGGGGTGTGGTAACGACGCGGAGCTGGCAGCCGTCCCAGCTCTGCAGGCGTCGGCGGAGCTGAACCTGCTAGCCCAATTCCTGCGGTGGCTAAGACAAGGTCGCCCACGTTGGTGGTCGAAAGACAACCGTCCCACTTCGGCAGGCAACGTAGCTCATGATCACCATTGCCAGCCGAAGAACTCCACGTGGTAGGTGTTGCCTCGTTCGTCTCCAGCTCGTCGTCTGGGTCAGGACGTCTCGACCTCGGCCTTGGCGCCCTGTCTCTCAGCAGCCTCCGAAACATATTTCGTAGATCTGCCAATTCTTGCCAATGACGGACCTCACGATCATAACGTTCCTGTCTTGGCATACCAGCCAGACTTTCGGGAGGAGGAGGAGGACGACGATGATGGTGGAGGAGGAGGAGGAGGAGCGCGCGTTGGACGCAAGCGGAGGCGAGGGCGACGACGAGGAGACCAACGACGACGACCACGACGACGACGGCGGCGGCGGTGGCGAAGATGACCACGAGAGAGGGGGGAGAAGGACTACCCGCCTTTCTCGGGTCGGACGAAAGCCCTGGAGAAGGAAATGGGGGGTTGCGAAACCTGTTGCGCACAGCTGGTTTCGGTCGCCCCGCCGAGGGGCCAGTCCTCGACGCATGGCCGCCTTAGGCGCCAGGAGGCGCTTGAAAAATCAGCAACGTGAGCTGCTTGGCAAATCCACACTTTGCCACACACCCCTTTCGTCCAGCCCGCCTTGCCCGCAGGCCCGCGGGGCAGCTGGCGCCACGCTGGCGCATCGGTTCGACAGAAAAGAAGGGCACCCTTGCTCGCCCTGGCCTCCCGTCCCCCCCCTTCCCGCAGTCTGTGCTGTCTGTCGCCTTCTCGCTGGCGGCCAGGCGTTGGCGCTAATCACCGGCGCCGCCGCCGTTGATTTTCAATCTGGCGGACGCCGCCCCGCGATTCGCCCGAGCAGGGAAACGAATCTCTTTTTGAATATATATATATATATATACATACATACATACATAGGAGAAAACGCGCGCCTCCCACAGATCTGTGAATCAAAAGCTGACACTCAGGGCCCCAGAGAGTTATTTTTTTCTGCAGCCCTCGCTACCCTTAGGTCGGGCATGTCCCCCTACAGGCTGATTTTCTACGAGGAATAATAAATACCCCGAACAGATTCCAACATAGTCAACAAAAATAATCAAGACGACGTCCCCATCTTATTTGTTCCAACTATGTTTGAATAATCTTCCTGTCGAGGGACACGCCCGACCTAAGGCTACCCCCCCCCCCCCAATTTCCCGGCCCCCCCACTACGCGGCCTCCACACGAGGTTCGAGGAACCTCTTTCGCCGCGGCACTGCAGGGGACAATCCGCTCGCGCGCTCGCGCTGACGGAGGGCGCTCGACGCACGAACTGCCCTGCTGCAAGGCTGCAAACAAGGGGGGGAAGAGCGGGGAGGGGCGGGGATCCCCCCTCCTCGGGCCCCCCCCTGTGATCTGATCAAGTCGGGCCTGTCCCCCTACAGGGGGATTTTGGACGAAAAATACAAAATCGTCAAACCATACCCTAAACATATTCTAACATGGTCAAGAAATCGTCCCCAGACTATTTTCTTATGATTTTTGAATATTCCCCCTGTGGAGGGATGGGCCCGAATTCACCCTATTATTTCGCGCCAGCCGAAAGCGAACCGTCTTCGAAATGTACCCCTCTCTGCCCGCCAAGCCGGCGCGCGTACAGGGAGAGGGCAGGCTGCGTTCCAGGGAGACTCCAAAGTCACCAGCCCCAAACTGTGGGGAAGCAGCAAGAAGGGACGGAAGAGGAGCGGGGAGGAGAACCGGAGGGGGAGGAGGGCACTCACCGAGGTTGGAGGGACAACACAGACGGCATAAGCATTACCTTTCGGAGTTTCGGGCAGATTTCTCGGATCGGCGCTGGGCCCCCCTCCCTGGCGCGCGGAGCGTGCCGGGAGCGGCGACGGAGGCGCGGCGCTGCCAGGGATGCCCAGCGCAGATCCAGTAAATTTGCGCGGACCGTCGAAAGTTTATGTTGTTTGTTCTTCTTCGAGAGGTGGGGGACAAGGAGGGAGGGAGGAAGACGGACGACGAGAACGACGAGGACGCCGACTGGGTGGAACAAGCGTGTACCGGTACCGTCACTCCCAGGACCTCTCCCGAGCGTGGGCTGGCCAGACTTTCGAGGCGAATCCAGCCGTGGTGACGAGGGCTCTCCAGGACGAGCAGCGGTATCGGCACCCTGTCCTCCTCCGGGGGAGGGAGGGAGACGGACGACGAGGACTCGAGGACCAATACAAAACCATGAGCGTGTAACCTTTCGGAGGTCTGCGCGGATTCTTTGGGTCGGCGCTTGACCACCCTCCTTGGCGCACGGAGCGCGCCCCAATGTGGGAGCCCAGCGCAGATCCAAGAAATCCGCGCTTGCCTCCGAAAGTCTGCGTGCATGCAGTGTTTTTTGTTTTTGTTGTTGTTGATGATGTTGTTGTTGTTATGGCTGTTGTTGTTGTTATTGTGGTTGTTGTTGTTGCTGTTGTTGTTGTTGTTGTTGTTACTGTTATTGTTGTTGTTGTTGGTGTTGTTGGTGTTGTTGTTGTTGTTGTTGTTGTTGTTGTTGTTGTTGTTGTTGTTGTTGTTGTTTTCTCTCTCTCTCTCTCTCCCTCTCTCTCTCTCTCTCCCTCTCTCGATTGAAAACCCACCGGGTACCGGTAAACCGCTACTCCCTGGACCTCTGCCAGGGTGCGCTCTGACCAGAACTCGGAGGATCATCCAGCCGTGGCGACGAGAGCCCCCCCTGGAGGCCCTGGAAGGCCCAAACCAAGCAAGGATACCGGTATCCGTACTTCTTCCTCCGAGGCTCTCCCTGGCGAGCCCCACCTGAGAAACGATCAAAAACGGGTCTTGCGCGAGATGCCACGGTGACCTCACGCGGCGGCTTCATCACGCGGGCCGCCAGCGCGGCACGCTGCATTGGAGACGAGGGCGCTCACGCGCGACCTTACGCGGGCAACTTACGCGCGAACGTCGGCGCAGACGACCCCGGTTTTTTTTGTCGCTCACCTGGACAGCCCGCCCTCCCTCGGCTGGAGCCTGGTGCTGCCTCGCCGGCTGCGCCGCAGGCGCGGGCAAAAACGCCAGGCGCGCGCCGAGGATGCACGCGGCGGCCGCGAGGGCCAGGGCGGGCAGGAGGGCCTCTCGGGGCGCGGCAGACCCCTCCTCGCTCCTCCTCCTTCTCCTCCTCCTCCTCCTCCTCCTCCTCCTCGCCCATCCCCATGCCCATCATCATCATCATCATCATCATCATCATCATCATCATCATCATCATCATCATCATCATCATCATCATCAGCAGCAGCAGCAGCAGCAGCAGCAGCATCAGCATCAGCATCATCGTCAGCATCATGAGCATCAACATCATCATCATCATCATCATCATCATCAGCATCATCATCACGATCCTCATCATCAGCATCATCATCAACATCACCATCACCAACATCATCAACATAGTCATACTCGTCATCATCATCAACATAATCGTACTCGTCATCATCATCATCAGCAGCATCAGCATCATCATCTACATCATACTTATCTTCATCATCAGCAGCATCATCGGCATCATCAGCAGCAGGATCATCGGCATCCTGCTCATAACATCATCATCGTCATCGTCATAGTAGTTATCATCAGCAGCAGCATCAGAAGAAGCAGCATTGTCCTCCTCCACATCATCATCCTCCTCATCATCATCTTCATCATATTCAGCATCATCATCAGTGGCAGCATCCTCGTCGTCATCACCATTCTCATCGACATCAACATTATCAGCATCATCATTATCACCAGCATCATCAGCACCACCACCAACATCGTTATCATCGTCGTTACCAACAGCATCAGCAGAATCGTCATTATTATCATCACCATCATCAGCACCATCATTCTCATCATCGCCGTCATTATCAACAGCACGGTCGTCGTTAGGATCCACATCCACATCCTCATTATCATCCTTATCCCCATCCTCATCCTCATCCTAATCCTCATCCTTCGCCTCATCCTCATCATCAGCATCCCCGTCATCGCAATCATCACCATCAGAATTACCGTCATCGTCATCATCAGCAGCAGCATCATCATCGCAATCATCACACTCATCATCGTCGTCGTCATCGTCGTCATCGTCATCGTCGTCGTCATCACCGTGATCGTCTTCGTCATCGTCATCGTCATCGTCGTCATCAGCAGCATCATTATCGTCATCATCTGCTGCAGGAGGCCCGGAGAGGACATCAAGAGGCCTCCTCTTCATCCTCCTCCTCCTCTTCTTCCTCCTCCTCCTCCTCGTCCTCGTCCTTCTCCTCCTTGTCCTCCAACTCCTCCCACTGCTCCTCCTTCCCATCCTCTCCCAAGTGCTCCCCAAAGGGGCTCCACAACGGCTGGAGGACCACATAACCCAATAGCTTGGCCAGACTTCGGCAAACCTTGGCCGCATGGGCGTGTTCAAACGACAGAGGGCAGCGGTGACTCGCCGTAGGCGTCTTTGATCCGCCGCCACCCGTGGCTCGCCACACGGGAGACAGGCGTGCCCAACGTCAGGCTGTCTTGGTCCGTTTCAAAAGGTTCCCAGAGGGGGCCTCTCGGCCGATGGCGCCAGCCGCGCGGAGATCCAGGGCAGGGTGGGAGACAGGGCCCCTGACGCCTCCAAGACGGCCACGATGGCATCCAAGATGTCTTCAAGACTGCCAGGATGGCCCCAAGCGGGCCCACGATGGCCCCAAGATGTCTAAAAGGCGGCCCAAGGTGCGCCCAAGATGGATCGAGACGGCCCAAGAGGCCGCCAAGAGGGCTCCAAGACGTCATCTAGCAAGGCCCGAGGAGGCCATAATCATACATCTTCCGTCGTTGTTTGAAGGATTAGGGCATTTGCTTCGTTTCTGCGTTCCGACGTATCAAAACGGCCCAAGAAGCCCCAAAGATCGTCCGAGAGGCCTCCATGATCGCCCGAAAGGCCTTCCTGATGGCCCCATGACGGCCAAAGAGGCCCGCAAGACGACCCAAAGAGGACCCGCAGACGGCCCAATAGGCCTCCAAGACTCCCAAGACGGCTTCCAAGACGTCTCTGAAGCGCCCCAAGAGGGCCCAAAGTCGGTTCAGTGAGGCCCCCTAAGACGCCCTCCAACGGCGTCAGACGGGCCAGGGACACCCTAAGACGGTCAAAGATGCCCCCAAGAAACAAACCATGAAGGGCCTCCGAGAAGCCATTGAGGCCCTGAAGAGGCTCCCGAGAGGCCTCCAGGAAGCTCCCAAGAGGCATCAGGAGTGCCCCAAGAGGCTCCCAAGAGGCCTCCTCCTCCTCCTCCTCCTCCTTCCTCCCTGTCCTCTTCTTTTCGTTCTCTCCCACGTGTTCCCCGAAGGGTTTCCACCATGGCTGGGGGAACACGTGGTCTAATAGCTTGGCCGAGCTTTGGCCGCAACGTTCGGCCTTATGGGCCTTTCCAACAGGCAGGGGGCGGCGATGATTCGCCGTAAGCGTCGTTGATAATGCTCTGCAGGAGAGGGAGGCCCGCGTGTCGGGCCCTGTGTGGACCCACATGCCCCAGGCGCCCCAACCCGGCGAGTTGTGTGAGTATCTCGAAGCGGTGCATCTTCTCACGGGCCCCAGCTCTACCACTGCGAACTGCGGCGAAAACATGATCAAACCGCATGCCATCCCTAAGCTTGCCCAGTAGTCCGGCTAGAAGGTTTATGCTGACCACTTGCGTCGGGCTCGTGATGAAGCCAGCTGTAAGCGCAATATGAAGGTTGCTCACGCTGACACCCATCCAGTCCCTGGATGACGACCCACGTTCAGATCAGCTCAGGTTTCAACGACGCTGACGCCAAATACACTGTCAAGTGAGCGCAGTCCAGATACCCGTTGGACCCCAACTTCCCTTTGGTATACGAGCCCAGGGGCACGGATGTACAGTCATGGAACGCACTGACGGCACTTTATGTTTAATCAGTCACTGGTGTAATCTCTACAACTCGCATGGAATGTCAAGGGGTTAAAAGAAGCCTGCGACCGGGCCCACTCCCGCTTTGGCAAGCGGACATGGCCTGATGTGCGCAAGGGGAAAGCACACATCGAAGCGACGTATCTGACGACTGTGCGACGTATCTGACGACTGTTCCCAGGTGTTCTTTACCCTGTCTGCAAGGGCAGGCTGCCCCTGTCTGCAAGGGCAGGCTGGCTTTCGAGGCTGATGTCGCCTGAGCTCCCCCCCCCCCCCCGGGGAGGAAGGCGGCCGTAGGCCCGACATCCTGTTGCCTCTCCTATCGACATGCTGGCTTGGCCGCCCCCAGCCTGCACCACTCATCCAACAAACGGCACCACCGTCATCAGCCTCATCCTCATCCACATCCGCACCATGGCCCTTGTCGTTGGTGCTGCCCCCACTTCTCGCTGACCCTCCCCCTCGTCTCGCCCTCTCCTCCTCTTCCCCCCCCTCCTAGTCCATCATGATCCTCCTCCTCTTCTTCATCATCATTAGCAGCATCATCACACTCACCATTATCATCCCCAGCATCATCAACATCAACATCATCATCATCATCATCATCATCATCATCATGATCATCATCATCATCATCATCATCATCATCCTCACCATCATCAGCATCATCATCAGCATCATCATCATCTTCAGCATCACCACCATCATCATCATCATCATACAAATAAGCATCGTCCTCAGCATCATCATCATATTCGTCAGCATGATCATGAAACTTGCAGTCCTCATCAGCAGCAGCAGCATCGTCACCAGCATCATCATCAGCAAGCGTATCAGTATCGCCATCGTCATCATCACCATCGCCATCTCATCATCACTACCATCATCAGCAGCACAATCACCAGCATCACCAGATACTTACACTCGTAATCAAAACCATCATATTACAACTGTCAGCATCAGCATCATCATCATCACCAGCGACATCCCATCAGCACCAACACGATCACAATAATACGTAGCATCATCCCCATCATCATAACCATCAGCATCATAATAAGTATCAACGTCACCATCATCAGCAACAGCATCATCAGCATCGCCATCGTCGTCATCAGCATCAGCATCAGCATCAGTATCATCATCAGCATATTCATCATCATCAGCAGCATCATCATCGCCATCACCACCAACATCACACAAATCATCGCAAGCATCCCGACCGCCACCATCATCATCATCATCATCATCATCATCATCATCATCATCATCATCATCATTAGCATCCTCATCATCACCAGTATCATCATCATCAGCAGCATCAGCAGCATCATCCTCATCCTCGTCCTCCTCATCATCATAATCATCATCGTCATCATCGCCATGTTCGTCGGCTTAGTCACCATCATCAGCAAAATCAGAATCATCCACACCATGACCAGCATCATCACTGTCATCATCAGCATCATCCTCATCATCGTCATCATCGCCATCAGCATCATCACCATCGTCATCAGCATCATCGTCGCCGTCGCCGTCATCAAACCATCATCATCACCAGCATCATCAGCATCACCATCATCGTCATCATCGTCATCGTCGCCAAAACCATGTTAATCCTATCGTGTCCTCCTCATATTGGTCATTCCTCCCCTTCCCTCCTAACCCTTACTCCCCTACTCATCCTCATCCTCGTCCGCGTTCTCCCGTCCCCTTCCCCTCAACCTCTTCCTCAACCTCCTCCCTTTCCTCCTCCTTCTCCTCCTCCTCCTCCTACTCCTATCCTTATTCCTTATTAGAATATACTCCTACTCCCCCCTCAGGCCGGCCATTAGGGGCCGCATCCGGGGGGTCCCATCCTAACCTGTAAAAAACAATACAAAATCAACATTTTTCTTATTTTTTCCTCTCGACATGGACGTCTTGTCGTCCACGGCGATAATCCATTGCAAAAAATACCACAAAGAGCACACGCGCGCGTTCATGTCAGAATCCTACCGAACACCGTGTGTTTGCAAGCATTTCAACATAAAAACATCAAAAACCCAATGCTTTTTCACAAAAATTGTACAAATTTCCCGCCCGGGCTCTCTTGCTGAAATCATAGGAAAACCATAGGAATCTTAAGAATTCGGTCAAATCCAGCGATTTCACGTCATCGCGCGGTGCACTCGCGATGCTCTGTCATGCACCCAGGCCGCGAATCCTGTGCAAAAAATACCACAAAGAGCACACTCGCGCGTTCATGTCAGAATCCTACCGAACACCGTGTGTTTGCAAGCATTTCAACATAAAAACATCAAAAACCCAATGCTTTTTCACAAAAATGCTTTGGGGTGTCCTGTCAGACCGTCGGGCTTCCTCCGGCCACCTCTGGCTTCCTGCGGTGTACCGGGCCATTCTCGACTCGTCTGGCAATGCGTGCGCGGCATTCAACACGCGCTCGCCAGTTCCCGTCGGCAACCGCCATCGCGGCCGCATCAGCTGTACCAAACCGGCTGGCCGGTGTGACTTCGGCCCCCAGTTGTGCCAGCTTTGCTTCTTATGTTGTGGGAGGGCGGGTGGGACTGGGCATGCCATGCTTGACTCGCTCGAGCTGGCTAGCTTGACTCCTACTCCTAATCCTGGTCCTCCTCCTTCTCTCCCTCCTCTTCCTCGTCGCATCCGACCACGATCACTATTACTATATACGCCACCGTACCGCGAGGCACTGAGGGAGCGTCTTCGAACCATTGGAGTTCTCTGAATTGAATATTCAGAATACCCGTAAGGAGCCCACAACAACGAATTCAGGGCGCTCTCGGAGGCCTCTTGGGGTTTCCCGCGTGTTTGTCGCGTGACCTGTCTTCAGGTCTGACGGCCTGGAGACGGCCCAACAGCCCCAAGACGCCCCCAAGACAGCACCCAGACGATGGAAGAGGGCTCCAAGACGCACACGATGGCTTCAAGACGGCCGAAAAGGCCCAGCATACAACTCGAACTGACGTGTCCAGCACTCCGCCCAAAGAGGACCCAGGAAGCAACCAGCAGGCCTCCAGAAGTAAGGCCCCCCAAAGGCCCCAAGAGGTCCCCCCCGCTCCCCCTCCTCCCTCCTCCTCCTCCTGCTGCTCCTCCTCCTGCTGCTCCTCCTTCCTCCTCCTACTCCTCCCTCCTCCTCCTCCTCCTCCTCCTCCTCTTCCTCCTCCTCCTCCCCCTCCTCCTCCTCCTCCTCCTCCCTCCCCTCCTCCTCCTCCTCCTCCTCTCCTCCTCCTCCTCCTCCTCCTCCTCCTCCTCCCCTCCCCTCCTCCTCCTCCTCCAGCCTCTCCCCCTGCCTCCCCCCCGAGGGATCATCGTTGGTCCAGCTCGGGCCTCCGACGGCAGTTCTTGGAACGCTTCTCGGGCACCCCCCTGGGAACTCTCCCTCGGCGAAGCGCGGCGAGAGCAGCCGACCGAACACCTCGAACCCCGAGCCCCTCCTGTCCGACCCGCAACGTCACTCCCCCTCCTCTCCCCATCCCTCCTCTTGACAGACAACGACGGGGGGGACCACCTCACAAGGGGGAAACGTCGACTCGGAATCGGCGGTACATCGCCGATAAATCGGCGACAGGCCTCCGATAGCAAACCCATGTGGCACTGCGCAGGTTGGGGCTATCAGGCCCGTCTCGTCGATCAACAGGCGATTGGGGCTCGACGCATACCCCCTGAGCCAATACTCCCTTGTCGGCGTTTCCTGGCTTTCGGGCCATACTTGGCTCCCTGGCGGCCGAAATGATCCGGGCAGCACAAGAACATTATCGGCGAAACGCGGCCGCTGGAAGGCACCCCGAGGATGGAACACCGCCGCCGTGTGGAAACCTCGGATAGAAAGAGAAATCTTGATAAACATAATTTTCGGCCTTCCACGCGGATTTCTTGGATCCGCGCTGGACCCCCCTCTGTCGCGGGGGGCGCGCCAGGGGCGGCGCCGGAAGCACCGCCAGGGGGTTCCAGCGTTGATCCAAGAAAACCGCGCGGACCAAAGCAAGTTGATGCTTATGCCGCTTGTTCATCTTCGATAAAAACCTCGGAGAGAACGTGATCCACCGCCGCTTTAGTGTGGAAAATCTGGAATCCGGGGGTCTCCCGGTCTCTCCCCCCCCCTTCGAAAATTCCCCCCCCTCCTGCTGGATCCCCCCCCCTCCCTCCCCCCCCCCCCCAGCACAACCCCCCTCCCCCCCCTAACTCCTTCTCCCCCCCGTCCTCCGGAAAACCGAGGGGGGGTCACTACCGGCTCGACTCTCCCCCCCCTCCGCAAAAACAAGGGGGTCACTACCGGTTCGAACCCCCCCCCCTAGCTTCCCCCCCGTCGAAAACCGAGGGGGGTCACTACCAGTTCGAACCCTACCCCCGGGGCTCCTTCAAGGAAACCGGAGGGGGGGGGGTCACGTCTGGTTCGAAGCGCCACCCCCCACCACACCCCTCGCCGGCAAACGACTCCCAGGTCCCCACCACTGTCCGCACCACATTCCCCACTGCGGTCCCCAGCACCACTGTCCCCACCACCACTGTCCCCACTGCTCCCACCACTGCCCCCACTGTCCCCACCAGTGCCCCCACCACTGTCGCACTATCCCCACTGTCCCCACCACTGATCCCACCACTGTCCCACTCTCCCCACTTTCCCCACAGTCCCCACCACTGTCCCACTGTCCCCACTGTCCCCACTGTCCCACTGTCCCACTGTCCACGCCGCTGTCCCACTGAGCTGTCCCACTGTTCCCACCAGTCCCCACTGTCCCCACCACTGTCCCCACTGCACCTCTGTCCCATTGTCACATCACCGTCTTCGCCACCGCCCTCACCACTGTCCCCACTGTACCTCTGTCCCCACCACTGTCCAACTGTCCCCACTGTTCCCACCATTGTCCCCGCTGTCTCCACCAGTGCCTCCACCAGTGTCTCACTGTCCCCACTCTCCCCACTATTGTCTACACACGGTCCCACTCTCCCCACTTTCCCACGGTCCCCACCACTGTCCCACTGTCCCACTGTCCCCACTGTTCCCACCACTGTCCCACTGTCCCCACTGTCCCCGCCGCTGCCCCACTGTACTCTCCCACTGTCCCCACTGTCCCCACCAGTCCCACTGTCCCCATTCTCCCCACCACTCTCCCCACTGTACTACTGTCCCACCGTCCTCACCACCGCTTCCACCACTGTCCCCACCACTACGGTCCCCACCACTGTCCCACTGTCCCCACCACTGTTCTGCTGTCCCCTCACCACTGTCCAAACCACCACCGTCCCCACCATTGTACCTACCACTGTCCCACTGTCCCCGCACCACTGTCCCCACCACCACCGTCCCCACCACTGTCACGACTGTCCCAGTATCCCCACCACTGTCCAACTGTCGCGAGGAGTGGGAATTGTTTGCTGGCGGCGAGAGGGGGGGGTTCGAACCGGTAGTGACCCCCCCCGGTTTTCGAGGAGGGGAGGGGGGGGGGTTCGAACCGGTAGTGACCCCCCCCCTTTTCATGATGGACTGGGGGGGAGGGAAGGGGGGGGGGAGACGGGTTGGGAACCCCCTGGAACCCCCAGTGACCCCCCCCGGTTTTCCGCCAGCAGCGGTAGAACACGCTCTTTCAAACCTCGACGTTAGTCCTGATCCTCTCCGCGCCAACTGGGCGGGCGGAAAAAGCGGGCCTTGGAGCGCGCAGCCGCCATCTTGGGCAGCCTGTCGCCCGATGAGGGGGGGGGGTCCTGGCGCGGGCCTGCGGGTGCCAAGAATCCACGCCACCACCGCCTTCGACCCCCTCCTCTCCTCCAGCCCCTTCTTCCTCGCCTCCTCTCCCGGGGGGGCAGGAGACAGGTGAGAAGGAAGCGGTGGTGGCGTGTGCTCCTGGGCCCCGTCGGGTCTCTTCCTCGCCCTGGCTGTGCGGCGGGCTGCTCAGGCTCGAGCCCCAGCGCGGCAACCCCCCCCGGGGGGGCGAGGACGCGGACAGCGGAGCGGCGCGGAGCGAGCGCCGAAGAGTCGTGCGCGCTCCTCCGGGAGGCCCACCCGTGCCCGTGCGGGGGGCACGGCGCGGAGGCCGCGGCCTCCGACACCGGGACAGCTGCACGGCGCGGCGTGGAGGCTGCTGCCCCCGGGGATCGCGGGGCAGGGGCGAGGGGGGCAGGGAGAGCGGGGCCCGGCATGCCCCGCCTCGCTCCCCGCCCAGCCAGTGCGGGAAGGCGGGCGCGCCCGGCCACGAAGTCGCCGGATGGCCGGGGAAAGGAGGGCGAGAACGAGGAGGAGGGGAAGGAGGAGGGTCAAGCGCTCGTGCATATATATATATATATATATATATACACACATATTCCTATAATTATACATCCTGTAAGGAAAACTCCCCCCCGGATGCCCCCCCCCCCAACATACCTTCTTGGACGGCCGCCCTTGGCCCCGGGCCCCTTTCCAGCGGACTTCCAAGCCCTCCAGGTCACCGAACAAGGGGGCGAAACGCTCTTATGGCCCCCCAGCGGCCCAAGACGCCCGAGGACGGCGGCCTAAGATAGCCTCAGCTGACACCGCGACCGCCCCGAGGCGACCCAAGACGGCCCAAGAGGCACCCAAAAGGCCCCCCAAAAGGGCCCGGCGAGGCCAAAATAGCCCCATTCCCATCGTATAAAAGGTACATTCTCAACATATTCGCCTCTTGGCCTTTCATAACGTCCAAGTCGGCCCAAGAGACTCCCAAGACGGCCCAAGAGGCTCCCAAGAAGGCCCCAAGACGCCCAAAGAGAGCCCAAGAGTGCCCCAAGGGCCCCCAAGGCAGCCCAAGAGACCATCTGGACGGGCCGCGCAGGCGTCCCAGAAAACGAAAACCAAATTCAAATTTCAAGCCTTCGGCTTCAAGAGGCCCATAGGATGCCCCCAGAGGCCCCCAAGAGGCCCCACGGGGCCCCAAGAGGCCCCTAAGCGGCCCCCAAGAAGCCCCCAGGCGGCCCCCAAAAAGCTCCCATGAGGCCCCCAGGACGCCCCAAAAAGCTTCCAAGAGTCCCCTCCCCGGGCGCCCCGAACCACTCCTGGCGATCGCGAGGCTTCTGACAAGGAGAAGCGACGAACGGCCTTCCTGACGCGCTCTTGGGCCGTCTTCGAGCTTAAGGTGCCCCAATCAAGGCCCAACAGGTCCCAGAAACGCCCAAGGATAGCTTCCCCGGGGTTCCCAAGAGACCCTCCAGAAACAACTGACCGGGAGACGCACCCAACCCTTTGTACACAAGAGGCGACTCTACCCAGGACCGTTCATTTCCAACTTACGCCTTGAAGGATTCGCAGTATCCTTGAACGCTTCGCCAAAGAAAGTGAGGCCGCAGACCAGTGTTCCCCATTCACGGCATCACTCTTGCGACTCATATCATCGGAAAGAGGGCGATCACGATCTGACAAAGGAGCAATGACGAGGGGCCCACGAACGTGGCGACAGCTTCGCTGTTCGAAGCCCCCCGGGACGGCGAGGCCTCATTCTGGTCTGCGGATCACGCCACTCCGCTGGACCCGCCAGCGGCCCACGAAGGTAGCGACAGTTTCGCACATCGCAGCCCCCCACTCGTTCCCTCGTTCCTTTCCCAGTTTATCCATCTCCTCTTCCTCCTGTTCTCACTCCCTCCTCGTCCTATCTCGCCCTCCTCCTGTCATTCTCCTCCCCCCTCTGTCCTCTCCTCTCTCTCTCTCTCTCTCCCTCCTCCTTTCCTCCTCACCGTCCCCGACCGTCTCTCTCCCTTCTTCCTCGCCCTCCTCTCCTCTTCTTCCCTTCATATCATGTCCTCCTCTTCTTTCCCGATCGTCTCACTGCAAAGCTCTGCCCTCTCAGAGGGCTACTGATTCCCAAGAGAAGCGCGACGACCATGCAGCATGCAGTCTGTTTGGCCCGGGGAAAGTCCAGGGACAAGTTTCGGGTGCGTCTTTGCGGAGGGAGCGGAGGGGGAGGAAATTCTCAATGGAAAGGAAGAGAGGGGAGGAAGAGGAGGAGGAGGAGGAGGAGGAGGAGGAGGAGGAGGAGGAGGACACACAGAGGAGGAGGAGGAGGAGGAGGGGAGGAGGAGGAGGAGGAGGAGGAGGAGAGGAGGAGGAGGAGGAGGAGGAGGAGGATAGGAGGAGGTCTTGGCCCCCCAGCGGCCCAAAACGCCCGAGGACGGCGGCCTAGGATAGCCTCAGATGACACCGCGACCGCCCCGAGGCGACCCAAGACGGCCCAAGAGACACCCAAAAGGCCCCCCAAAAGGGCCCGGCGAGGCCAAAATAGCCCCATTCCCATCGTATAAAAAATACATTCTCAACATATTCGCCTCTTGGCCTTTCATAACGTCCAAGTCGGCCCAAGAGACTCCCAAAACGACCCAAGAGGCTCCCAAGAAGGCCCCAAAACGCCCAAAGGGAGCCAAGGAGTGCCCCAAGGGCCCCCAAGACAGCCCAAGAGACCATCTGGACGGGCCGCACAGGCGTCCCAGAAAACGAAAACCAAATTCAAATTTCAAGCCTTCGGCTTCAAGAGGCCCATAGGATGCCCCCAGAGGCCCCCAAGAGGCCCCACGGGGCCCCAAGAGGCCCCTAAGCGGCCCCCAAGAAGCCCCCAGGCGGCCCCCAAAAAGCTCCCATGAGGCCCCCAGGACGCCCCAAAAAGCTTCCAAGAGTCCCCTCCCCGGACGCCCCGAACCACTCCTGGCGATCGCGAAGCTTCTGACAAGGAGAAGCGACGAACGGCCTTCCTGACGCGCTCTTGGGCCGTCTTCGAACTTAGGTGCCCCAATCAAGGCCCAACAGGTCCCAGAAACGCCCAAGGATAGCTTCCCCGGGGTTCCCAAGAGACCCTCCAGAAACAACTGACCGGGAGACGCACCCAACCCTTTGTACACAAGAGGCGACTCTACCCAGGACCGTTCATTTCCAACTTACGCCTTGAAGGATTCGCAGTGTCCTTGAACGCTTCGCCAAAAAACGTGAGGCCGCAGACCAGTATTCCCCATTCACGGCATCACTCTTGCTACTCATATCATCGGAAAGAGGGCGATCACGATCTGACAAAGAAGCAATGACGAGGGGCCCACGAACGTGGCGACAGCTTCGCTGTTCGAAGCCCCCCGGGACGGCGAGGCCTCGTTCTGGTCCGCGGATCACGCCACTCCGCTGGACCCGCCAGCGGCCCACGAAGGTAACGACAGTTTCGCACATCGCAGCCCCCCTCTCGTTCCCTCGTTCCTTTCCCAGTTTATCCATATCCTCTTCCTCCTGTTCTCACTCCCTCCTCGTCCTATCTCGCCCTCCTCCTGTCATTCTCCTCCCCCCTCTGTCCTCTCCTCTCTCTCTCTCTCTCTCTCTCTCCCTCCTCCTTTCTTCCTCACCGTCCCCGACCGTCTCTCTCCCTTCTTCCTCGCCCTCCTCTCCTCTTCCCTTCATATCATGTCCTCCTCTTCTTTCCCGATCGTCTCACTGCAAAGCTCTGCCCTCTCAGAGGGCTACTGATTCCCAAGAAAAGCGCGACGACCATGCAGCATGCAGTCTGTTTGGCCCGGGGGAAGTCCAGGGACAAGTTTCGGGTGCGTCTTTGCGGAGGGAGCGGAGGGGGAGGAGATTCTCGATGGAAATGAAGGGGGGGGAGGAGGAGGAGGAGGAGGAGGAGGAGGAGGAGGAGGAGGAGGAGGAGGAGGAGGAGGAGGGAGAGGAGGAGGAGGAGAGGAGGAGAGGAGGAGGGAGGAGGAGGGAGGAGGAGGAGGAGGAGGAGAGGAGGAGGAGGAGGAGGAGGAGGAGGGAGGATAGGTGAGGATAGGTGACGAGCGAGGGAGGGGAGGGAGAGGGAGGTTTCTACCCCTTTGCGGGACCGATTGTGAGCGCATTTGCTTCCACCCCCCACTCTTACCCGATTTTCTGGGGCCCGCCTAACGCAGCAAAGTCCGAGGAAGCCCGCATCGCCCACGTCTTTTCCAACCTTCCTTTTTCCACTGTCATCGTCATCATCGTCCGTATGCCCTCGTCATTGTTGCCCCCATGTCCCACAAGCATTGCGGCTCTTCTCGTCTCCCCCACCCCCCACACATTCGCACCTTCCCCCACATGGTGCGCCCCGCCTGTGCCTTTGTAGATTGCTCCTGTAATCAAATATCCACCCTCCGGCCAGATCTGGACTTCTGCGACTGCGCGAAGACATCTTTCATTCTTGACGACAAAGTCAAGACTCACGAGATCACAGGCAAAATGATGCAGCTCGCGTTTTGCTCGGCCCATCGCCTGGAACCAGCTGCCAACATCCCCGGCGTCTCGCAGATAGACTCTGGAATGCTTGCGCTGTTCCGCGCCAGCTGGCTGGAGCGCGACAGACGCCATTGCGCCCGGCTGCTCCTCGACCCTCCCCTGGCCACAGACGTGACGCCGCGAGCCTCGGGATCGGAGCCCGTGCCCTTGAAATCCGCGCTTGCCACCGTCATGACCAACACCTTCTTCTGCGAGACATCGCGCGAGTTCGACAAGGTGACCCAGGAGATCCGGCGTGTGATCTCCGCGGTCAAGAGCTGGGGCGAGTATCACCTTGCCTCCGGCATGTCCGCCTCGCGCCCGTTCCCGTCGAACGCGCGCCCTGGCATGCCGACGCCACGTTCGAACGCACGTGCAAGCAACCACCGGCGCAACCCTCATGGCAGCCATCGGGACACACACCGGGACAGCAACGGGACACCAATCGGGACAGCCATTGGGACACCCATCAGGACAGCCATCGGCACCCTTTTCGGGGCAGCCATCGGGACAACCACAAGGACACTCGTCGGGACAGCCATCGGGACATTCACCTTTCATTTCGCCCCAGCGACGCACACGCGCCGGCGGACATGAAGTTGGTCTACATCGCCACCGTGGCAGACGAAGCAGCGGCCGTCCGACACGCATTTCCTCACGTTCACGACCCGCACGACTGCGCCAATTCCAAGATCTTGGCCGCCGTGAACACGCTGGTGGACGCACACAACAAGCGCATTCTAAATGTCTCGGAACGCACTTACCTTTGCCCTTCCAATCAATTTGCTCAGCGCCGACACGCTGGACATCGATTCCACAGGCCTCATCGAGCCGCACTTGACTGCGGAGTTTCTCACGCTCCAGAACGCCCCAGGCGCACCGCCCCATGACTTGTACATTGTGGTCGGTGGCCTTTTTTCGAGCTCATGAGGAATTTCAGCCCTATCGAGCGACTCATGAACCATGTGCCGGTCATAGTGAAGGCGGTCCACCACCATCACATCCTTATAGAAACCTTGGATGGCCGCGAGTATCCTGTACCGCGCATCGTTTTCCGCTGGCAGATTGCCAACGGCACGTCCACCATGACCCGTCGACAATATCCTTTGCGGCCAGCGTACGCGTCCACCTTCAATGGAGGGCAGGGCCGCACGCTCGCGCGCGCGTGCCTGGACGTGCGCCGAAACCCTTTGGCCCATGGGCATCTCTATGAGGGCGTTAGTAGAGTCAAGAACCGCGCCGATATGCGCGTTCTCCCCGACTGTGAAAAGATGGACCAGAACGGCAACGCCTTAGTGCGCAACGTCGTCTGGCCTGAACTGCTTCTGCGATCGGACCCACCCCGTCCGAAGCGCCTTGGCCTCACGCCACGCAAGCGACCTGCCGCCTGCCGAAGATGATCGCAGAAAACACTTTCCATTTCGTGCCCATCCTTTCCTTGACGGGCGGTCGCCACCCCTTCTCCCGGCAATGACCCCCTCGCGGTCATTAGCGTTTACCCCTCGTCGTACCGACCACTGCCCTTTTCCGACGATCGTCGCATCCACCCCGCCACGTCGACGTCGTCCTCCCCCCCGTCCTCTTCCTCCTCCTCCTCCTCCTCCTCCTCCTCTTCCTCCTCCTCCTCATCATCATCATCACCATCCTCGTCATCCAAACTTGAACTCATTCTTCCATTTCCTCACCTCGCTCACGCACATGGCGTGGCTCCTTGGCCGCCATGACCGCGACACCCCTCGTGGTCACCGTTTTCTCGACCCCCTCATCGGTGACTATGGCCTCGTCGCGGTACGTCGCCGTCTCCCAAACACAGGAATGCTTATGACCCGTCCGGGACTTATGACCGCGACCCCTCTCATGGTCATCATGTGCTTGCAGACATCATTCGTTCACCGAGTGTTTGGGTGCGCATGGGCGCAGGACCAAGATTGAGGCGAAGCGAAGCGAGCCCTCAAATCTTGTATGTATATATATATATATATATATATATATTGCACAGCGGCGAGGCCTCCCCCCACTCCTCCCACTCCCCCTGAGAGAGATCTGTGCACGGTTCACCCCTCCCTCCTCCATCCCCCCCCTGGAAGATACCGTCGCTGGCGTGCGAAAGCACCGCTGCCGTAGCTTGCAGGGCGCCCCGCGGCGCGCGTCGGCTTCGGCGGTGGATTAAGCATCGCCGCGTGGAGTTGCGAGAGAGAGGGGAAGAAAGAAAAGGAGGACCGGGAGGAGGAGGAAGACCGGGAGGAGGAGGAAGACCGGGAGGAGGAGGAAGACCGGGAGGAGGAGGAGGAGGAGGAGGAGGAGCCACCATGAGCAGGAGGGGGAGGACGAGGGGGAGGACCAGGGGGATGAGGAGGGGGCGGGGAGGCGGAAGGCGAAGACGGAGGAGGAGGAGGAGGAGGAGGAGGAGGAGGAGGAGGAGCTTTACTCGACGAGTGGGGCTAGCCGATCGGGCATCATGGGGTAGAACGCCCAGCAACCCGTCGCAGGCTCGGCGACATCGCACGTCCGATCCTTCCAGCGGCGACGCAGGCAGGTGCGCTGTCGGATCGGCCCCCGATGGGGGCATCATCTGGTCGGTAGGCCTGCAGGTCGTTGCGAGACTTGACCTCGACGTCGGAGGTCGCCAAGCTCTCGAGAGAAACTGCGAGGCCCGCCTCCGGACTGCCGACGTCGCGCAGCGCCTCGATCCCCCACACGCGGGCCGTCTCGACCTCCTTCCTGCACTCCGCGAGGATATCCTCGAGCCCTTCGGCGACCACGTGCTTCTGGTCCATGGTGAACGTGTCTATTACGGTGGCTGAGCTCATGCGCTGGTTGTGCGCCGTCAGCAGACTCAGCTCGCAGAGCACGACGTGGCACTGCAGAAGGGCCTGGTCTTTCGATACCCACTTTTCTCTGTGTGGTCCCCGCGCCTGCCGCGACGCCCCCCTCGATGTCCTTGTCGGCCTCCGTTGCCCTTGGACTTCGCGTTGGGTGTGTCTTTCCCGGTGCTGGTCATCGCCTTGTCGCCATCTTTGCCGCCCGCTTTGGCCTGCCAGGACACCTCACATCAAAATGATTTCCTCGACCAGAAGTCTCAGAGACACGGGAGGAGCCCGAGTGGAGCCACTTTGGCCTCATAGCTTTGGCTGTCGCCTCCTCCTCGTTTTCGCCTGGCCGTACAGCCGCCGCCGTCATCATCTTCACGTGTAGGCAATTGTCCTGGTAGTGTCTAAAAACGGTTAAACCAATCAATCTGGGGGGACAGTTTAAAGAATAGATTTCCCAGCGCTGTAGTGCGTAGATTGAAAACAAGAGGAAGGCGGAGCAAACCGGACCGCCAGGGACGTCCCCGCGACCGCCGATACCGCGCGAGAAACACCAATAGAGATTTGGGATTCTGGGGGGCGTCATAAGGCCATTCAGCTTCACCAAAAACAACGGGTGACACGTGTCACCCCCGAGACCGCGTGAGAAAAAGTAATTGAAAATTTGAGGTAGCAAAGACCGGCAGGAACAGGACGAAAGAGGAAAAGGAGGAGGAGGAGGAGAAGGAACGCAGCGTACCAGGCAGGAGGAGGAGGAGGAGGAGGAGGAGGAGGAGGAGGAGGAGGAGCAGCAGGAGCAGGAGCAGGAGGTAGAAGGGGAGGATGATGAGAAGAAGGAGGAAGAGGAGGAGGAGGAGGAGGAGGAGGAGGAGGAGGAGGAAGAGGAGTGAGGAGGAGGAGGAGGAGGAGGAAGAGGAGGAGGAGGAGGATGAGGAGCAGGAGCAGGAGCACGAGGGAGAAGGGGAGGATGAGGAGGAGGAGCTCGGGAAGACTGATAGACCAGGGCGAAGGGGATGGTCGGAGGGACGGGAGGATACGTCGGGTGCGCCGAAGAGGAGGACCACGCCGCGAAGTGGAGGATGCCCGCGGCAAGCCCCGAAGCTGGAGCGGGGACGGAGGAGAGGGCCAGGGCACGCACCGAAAGGACAAGAACGAGAAGGGGGGCACGACATCAGGGAGGAATCGCGGCCCCGGCAATGATGCCCACCCCCCTCCAGCGTTCCCCCCCGCCCGCTCTTAGACGACCCCGAGGCGAAGGAAGAAGGTCCCCCGACCAGCCGGGGCCTGACTGGCAGGGCCGCAACGCGCACTATTCGCTGCGGGCCTCGCGCGAGCGCCCATGCCGAGGTGGGAGCTCCCTCCCGAAGGAGCACCACGGCAGCATGCTCGTCCCTCCTTCCCCCTCCTCCTACTACTAGCCCCTCCTCCTCCTGCTCCTCCTCCTCTTCCTCCTCCTCCCCCGCCTCCTCCTCCTCCTCCTCCGCCTCCTCGGCCTCCTCCTCATCCACCTCATCCTCCCCCTCCTGCCCACACCGTAATCATCCTCTTTTTCCTAATCCCTTTCCTCCGCCTCCTCCCGCTCCTGCCCCTCGTCCTCCCCCGCCTCCGCCCCTCCGCCCCGTCCCCCCCTCCCTCTCCTCCAGCCCCTCCCCTTGTGCTCCCGCTTCCCTCCGCCCCCTCGCCTCACTGTCACACAGTTTGGACCACCCGCCGCCGCGGCTCTCCATCGCGGGTCTGCGCAACTGTTCGCCACCGCGCCACCCGGGCACGTTGAGGCGTGGTGGAATGCGAGATGCTGCTTGGCGGGGTTTCTTTAGTCTGCTAAGGGACCCCCCTCCGTCAGCACTGCGGGGCATGCATCCCCGTGTTGATGACTCTTGGGTTTACACTGGTCCTCCTCCTCCTCCTCCCCCTTCCCCTCCCCCTCGCGACGACGACACCGACGATCGGCCAACAAGGGCCTCGAGGTCCCCGAAGATTCCCGGGGGCCCTGGCGCCCCAAGACAGAGGGTGAACAAAAGTCGGCACAAACAAAACCACGAGAATCTGGATCATCGATCCTCGTTAAAGACGACGACGGCAACGGCGGGGTAATTAGGGCCAGGAACCCGCGTCCCCCCAAACGCAGCCGTGGTTTCCTTGCAGCGTCAAGTTGCAGAAGCAGCAACAGCAAACTCATCTCGGCAGCGCGCTGGGAACATACTCGATAGTCAGGCCCAGGCTCGTAAACATAAGCTCGGTAATTCTAGATCTCGGCTAAACGAGGCTGGCATGTGATATCAAGTGTAAAGGAGTGGAGTGCACTCTCTGTGAACTTCCTTTTCTCTCTCATCGAACGTCTGGTCTCTTACAGGCAACGCAAATCAATGCCACGAAAAAAGCAATGCAACACAAAACAAGGCAAATAAACGCTATGCAATGCACAGCAAGGCAGAGCAATGAAATGCGAAATCAAAGCAATGCAACACAAGGCACAACAGAGCAGTGCACATCACTGCAACGCAACGCCATGCAAACCAACGCACAGTGACGCAGAGCAAGGTATAACGCAAGGCAAGACAGCGCAATGCACAGCAATGCCGAGCAGTGCAGAGCAACGCAATGAAACGCAATGCAAAGCAGTGAAAACCCAGTGCAAGCCCGAGCAAGCAAGCGATGTCACGGCGGCCACGAGCGGCGACGGCGGCGACGGGACGGTGTCGGCGACTACATAGCCGCCAGACCGACAGACAGGCCCAGACGACGGGCGGCGACGAGGCGGCGACGGGGCGGCGACGGCGGCTGCACCGCCGCCAGACAGGCCCGCAGGCTCAGACGACGGGCGGCGAGGAGGCGGCAACGGGGCGGCGGCGGCGACTACGTAGCCGCCAGACCGGCCCGCAGGGCACAGCTCCTCACGGCGGGGGCATTGGACAAGGAACCCCCAGAGAAGGAACCCAGGGTCTGGAAGCTGGTGGGACTCCAGTCGCGGATCGGCCATGGATATCACCGCCGCCCTCGTCAGTTCAGGAATCCTCCAGGGTCTGAAGCCCCCTGGCCAGGACCCCCGGGGGGGGGGGGGCCAGGGGTAGCGTTAGGAGATAGAATCGGGGGGGAGGAGGAGGAGGAGGAGGAGGAGGAGGAGGAGGAGGAGGAGGAGGAGGAGTTGGAGGAGGAGGAGGAGGAGGAGGAGGCGGAGGAGGAGGAGGAGGAGGAGAGAGGGGAGGAGGAGGATGGGAGGAGGAGGAGGAGGAGGAGGGAGGAGGAGGAGAGAAAGGGGGGGAGGAGGGGAGGAGGAGGAGGTGGAGGAGGAGGAGGAGGAGGAGGGAGGAGGAGGAGGAGGATGAGGAGGAGGAGGAGGAGGAGGAGGAGGAGGAGGAGGAGGAGGGGAGGGGGGGAGGGGGAGGAGGAGGAGGAGGATGAGGAGGAGGAGGAGAGGAGGAGGAGGGAGGGGAGGAGGAGGAGGAGGAGGAGGAGGAGGAGGAAGGAGGAGGAGGAGGAGGAGGAGAGGAGGTGGAGGAGGGGGGAGGAGGGGGGGAGGAGGAGGAGGAGAAACGAGGGGGAGGAGGAAGGAGAAGGAAGAGCGAGGAGGAGGAGGAGGAGGAGGAGGAGGAGGGAGAGGGAGAAGGAGGAGGAGGAGGAAGAGGAGGAGGAGGAGAAGGAAGGACTGCTTGGGGAAGCACACTGAGGCCTGCGCCAGCAGGGGCCGAGGCCCCGCGCAGAGGCAGTGGGCCCTGCGCGCCCGAGGCCATGCCCCTCGCTCAAGCAAGCGGTCCGCACTTCCCGAAGCCGCGCTGACGCGTAACCACAAGGACAACGGATAAGGAACCATTGGATAAGGAACCATTGGATGAGGAACCATTGGATAAGGATTCCATTGGATAAGGATAAGGAACCATTGGATAAGGAACCATTGGATAAGGAATCCATTGGATAAGGATGCGGTGAGGGCATCGGATAAGGAACCATTGGACAAGGAATCCAGGGTCTGGAAGCCCGTGGGGACCCCAATCGCGGGTTGGCCATGGCTATCGCCGCCGCCCTCGTCAGAGAAGGAACCCTCCAGGGTCTGAAACCTCCTGGGCGCGCTCCTTAGCGAACGCCCCCGCCGTACGGGTCCGCGCCCCCGAAGCCTCGAAGACGGCCGAGGCAGGCCAGCGAGGCCGCCAAGATGCTCCAAGACGCCTCCAAGATGGCCCCAAGATGGCCCCAAGACGGCAAACCAACATTTGGAAACCACCCAGGAAGCCCCGAAGACGGTCCATGAGGGGCATGACGGGACCCCCCGTAGGGCCCGAAGACGCTCCAATGGTAGACGTCCCTGAGGTTGTTGAAAGATCTGCTCGCGTCTTCGCCTGTCTATAAGCTTTTTTCGGCTCAAGACGGCACTGTTGACACCTCCAAGATGGCCCCGAGACGGCCTAGAGGCTCCCAGGAGTGCCAAATCATCGTTCAAGTCGGCCTCAAGACAGCACAAGAGGGCCCGTACCCAGACATGCGACGTCCCGATCTTTTCAGGACGGCGATCCCCGGAAGTCCCGACCCTTTCCCCAGGACCGGCTGTTCGTCCCCAGTCGGTTCTTGAAGGCCCCGAGGCCCGGCGAGGGCCCCCCCAGTGCCGAGAAGAGCGAAAAACACGCCCGTCATGATTCTCGCTACACCCCGCGAAATGCTTAAGAAATCATGGGTTAAGAAATTCATATTCTCAGAACTTGAATAAAACCCAGGACTTCTATCAAAATCTTGGGATTCACATTGAAAAGTTAAGAATAATCGAGACTCTGAACGAAAACTTGGGTTTTCTGAAGCATCGCCTAGGGTGTACGACGCGATCATAACTGGGCAGGCGGCCCAGGAAGGCCCGGAGAGAGCCCCGAGCTCTCCGAGCAAGGGGGCCTCTCGAGGGACCCGAGGACGGCCTCGGACGGCGCCTCGACGGCCCCGGGTCGGCGCCGCGGCGGCGCCACGACGGCCTCGCAAAGACCGACGAGAGGCCCAAGGTGCCCAGTAGGAGGAGGAGGAGGAGGAGGAGGAGGAGGAGGAGGAGGAGGAGGAGGAGGAGGAGGAGGAGGAGGAGGAGGAGGAGGAGGAGGAGGAGGAGGAGGAGGAGCGAACGTCGCTCCAGAGGAAGAGTCGCCTACCTACCCGTGCGTGCACGTGCGGCTTCCAGGCAACGAAGTAAGTGCTGTGGCCCATTACAGGGAGCCGCACGGGTGCTCGTGACATGCATTCTGGCCACTGTAGGCCACGCTCCACACATGACTTTAATCGCCGCCCACCTCACCCCCCTCCCTTTATTTCGGAGGACGCTCTTCAGCGCCTCCCATCTCTGCGCCAACACTCGGGTGGCGGGCGCACGTACCTGCCACGCACAAAGCCTCTTCCTGAAGGTGACGGGAAAGGAATCTAGGAAGAGGAGGGACGACAGGATGGAGCGGAGGGTGGATTGGAAAGAGAACCGCTTTTTCCTCCGCTCACGATGGGCCTGTGCCATCCAGGCCGCCTCCGCTGCCGTCGTCCGCCTCTTCGCGGCCCGCAGGCAGGCCTCCCCTCGATGACGGTTCCTGGGCCTGCTGGTCGGGGTCCGGCACTCCAAGGCGTCCCTGAGGTGCCACGCGGGTCCACGGCGGTCTCGCCACCACGCTGGCGTGAAGAGGCCCGTCGGCAAGTCCGCCAACCTGATCAGCGCCTCTCCCTGCACCTCCATGAAGAAGCTCTCGACGCCCTCGAGGAGGACGAGCCAGTCCCTCGGCAGCTTGATCGCCGCCCTCATCCTCGCAGCCGTCGCCGAGGCGAAGAGGGAGAGCGGCGCCGTGACGCCCAGGGAGGTGCCCAGGGACAGGAGGCAGTCCTTCCTGAACGACTTCGGCGGCACGCGCAGCAGCACGTGCAGCAGGTCCAGCTCCTTGTCCACGAGCGTGTCGGGAATCGGGAACAGCATGGCCACGTAGAGCAGGCACGGGATCGCCAGCCCGTTGTACGCCTGGACCACCGCGTCGTTGGAGAGAGGGCACTAGCGCCCAGCGCCCGCGTCCTCGCCGCGTACTTGGCCGCAGGGTCGTGCCACTGTCTGGCGAGGTCGGCACCTGGCCCCAGCCAGCAGCCCAAGTACTTCGTCATGGAGGCGACCGAGAAGCCCGACCAGCCCGCGGCGCTCGCCTCGAGCACGCTCTTCACGAAGACCACGAGCGCCTCCGTGATCGGCGCCCAGAGCGGTACCAGGTAGCACTTGGACAGGTTGAGCTCCAGGCATGCTAGCGTCTGCATCGCCAGGAAGATCGGGCCGATCAGCGTCAGCAGGGCCAGGTCGCGGAGCACCATCCCCACGTCGTCCGCGCAGCCCTCCACATCGCCCTTGCGCTGCACGATGGGCTGCTCGGGCTTCCAGGACTCCCACCGCCACGGCATGTCCAGGACGTAGGCCATGTGCTCCAGGAAGGGCGAGAAGAGCAATGCCCAGAGCGAGCCCGACATCGGGCATCCTTGCGCCACTCCCGCCGTGACCGTGAAGGCCTCCAGCAGGTCCTCTCCCACCCTCAGCCATGCCACCTGCTTGTCGTACATGGCGGCGATCAGGGTCCTCACGGACTCGCAGAGGCCGCACTTGTCCAGGACCAGCGTCATCCAGCGGCGGCTGACGCTGGGGAACGCCGCCTTCACGTCGAACGTGATCAGCGCGGGATGCCCGCCCTTCGTCTCACTGAGCGCGCTGAAGGTGCGCGCCGTCAGGTCCAGCTTGATGATGTTCGGGATGAACGTCCTGCCGCGTACGAACCCATGCTGGACCGCCGAGGCCTCCTTCCTCGCCACCACGGCGAGTTCGTGGTTGACCACGGTCGCGATCAGCTTCCTGTCCGTGTTGAGCAGCATGAGCGGCCTTAGCGTTCCAGGCCGTCGCACCACCTCCGACGCGCTGAACGCCTCCCCGCTCTTCGGAATCAGCACCAGCAGCCCGTGGTTGAAGCCGTCAGGGAAGCCCGACCCAGCAAGCGCCTCCTGGCAGAGCCGGTACAGCCAGGCAACCGCTGCAGGAGACCGCGCCCAGGCGACGTAAGGCAGCCTGTCAGGCCCAGGGGCCGCATCGCGTCCCCCCCGAGCAGCACGTAGTAGATCCTCCTCGCTGAAGGCGAAGTCCTCGCGCGCGTTGGCAGGAGCGAACCACCGCTCGATGTGCTCCCTCGCCGCCTCCTCGTCGATGCCCTTCTCCCTGAAGATGGGGCCCCAGTACTCGCGCACCGCGGCCAGCATGGCGTCGGCGTTCTTCACCGTGGCGTCGGACGGCCGCACGGGTGCGCTCTCCGGCGCTGGCGGGGCAGAGAGCTCTTCCGTCGCACACACCTTGACGCCGCTCAGCTGCCAAACGGGCAGCTTGCGGAGCCACAGCTGGGCCTTCTTCACTATGCTGCCCTGCTTCCGCTTCCAGTACTCGCCCTCCTGTGCCTGCGCCGTCGCAAAGGCGCGACGCGCGCGCCTCGCAGCGTCTTGCCGCCGCTCGTCCAACATGCGCTCCGTGGTGGTGCGCACGGCCTCCCCAAATACCAGTGTGTCATTCGCCAGCACCTTGCCATCTTGGATGCGCAGGTGCCTCCGAGCCAAGGGGGAGGACTGGATCAGCATGCGCGCCGTGGTGCCGTCGTTCGTCCAGACCGTCCTGGCCGCCGATCGCATCACCAAGGCGTTGAGCTCCGCGCCCTGCGACACGTTCTGCAGATCGGCGAGCGCAATCATGTGGTTCCTCGTGGCCTTCGCCGCCGAGACCATGGCCCGCTTGGCGGCGACCCACTCCTCTTGAGCGTCTCCGTCAGCTCCCCGACTACGAAGCAGATCCTGTTCAGCAGCATGAAGATCCTTGAAGTACTTTGGGTACTGTTGCGACTTGAAGACGAAGGCAGGGATCTTCCTCTCCGCCATCGGCCTCTCCTTGCGGAGCCCCAGCACAAGCCCCACCACGCCATGATCACTCAACCTGCGCAGCGACAGCGTCGCGGGGTCCGCGTCGACCGTGCGGGTGGCACGGAGGCAGGGATACGCGTCCCTCGGCAGGCTGATGAAGAAGCGATCCAGCGTAGAGGCGGAGTCCGAATGCCTGTCGTAGTGCGTGGCATCCTTGCCATTGATCTCCACGCACTCGTCGAAGAGGTCCCGCCAGAAGGACCTGGCCTGGTGGTCGCGCACGGGGGACCTCATCGCCGTCGGCGTCGGCATGCGATAGTAGCGCCGATCGCCCACTGGAAGGTTGAAGTCGCCAGCAGCAACGCAGAGCTCCTGCATCGGGCACCTGCGCGCCTCCCTCATTGCCCCACGCCAGGCTGTCGCCACCCTCTTCTTGTCCTCCGCGCTGAGCTCGTGGTTGTGCACGTTGATGAGGGTGACTCCGACGCAGCACTCGTCGGCCTCGGCGGGCAGGTGCGTCGCCGAGTCGGGCCTTCGCGCCACCACGCTGATTTTCACCATCAGCACCCGCCCAGGAACCAGCTCCGTAGCCGTCGAGACTGGGTGCCACGACGGATGCATCTCCTCCCACTCGTGCTGCTCGGCATTCGGGATCAGCGTCGCCACACCGCCGCCACGCCCATCACGAAGAGCAGAAAAGTGGACCTTGTAGGGGAAGGGCTGCGAGCGCACGAACGACTCCAAAATGACCGCCGCACCATGCGTCTCCTGCACCATGATCACATACTTCTTCGCCATATACGACCTCAATATTGCTTTATTATTGCTCCCCCTTTGCTTTATTTGGCCACCAGCGCCCAGCTCCTCCGCGCACTTCCTCCAGGGCCTGGGCCAGGCGCTTGGTGTGGAGCTCCACGCGCAGGGAGCAGGAGGAGGAGGAGGAGGAGGAGGAGGAGGAGGACAAAGGAGCCCCAGCGGCCCCCAAGGCTGCCGCACAGGAGTCCAGGACAGCCCCAAGAGAGCCCCAGACGAGCTCCCCCTCAATACCATCGCCATCACGACGTTCCACATCGCACTCGTTCACGACGACGCTCCTCCTCCTCCTCCTCCTCCTCCTCCTCCTCCTCCTCCTCCTCCTGCTCCTCCTCCCCCTCAGTATGTTCCTTTTTGCTCCTCCTCATCCCCCACTCCTCATCATTGTCTTACTCCACGCCAGGACAACCTGAGATAAACTAAGATGAATTCAAGACGGACAAAATCTGACATGTCACAGCGTGTGGTTTTGACTGCTACTCGAACCACCGCGTGGTTCACATAATACGGCCTCCTGTCGCCCGTCGAACAGCTGCCTTCGAGAATACTCGGCTGGCGCGGTGAAGGGACTGGCCACATGCAGCTGGATACGTGCAGTAGTGTACCACTGGTGTGTCTAGTTCATTATCCTGGACGCCGTTGCTGGTCTGCGAGCGACGAAATGGAAGTACAGTTTGAAGCTGGTGCACGGCTCCATCACAAAGGAGTGCATGGCTTCACTACCCCATCCGTCCGGGTGTCTGTATATATGAATCGTCGTCACTGCTCTCAGACTTCGTGGAGCTGCCCATGGAAATGAAGCGATGCTCGTCCGTGTGATGCGGATCCATCAGTGCGTCACTTAACGCTTCTTTGAGCTCTTGCGAGAGCTCGCGCGTTGAGTGCGGCCCCATCTGGTACAAGTTCTTCACAGTGAACCAAAACATCATGCCCATGAGAGGGATCGTGAACAGCGAGAGGCCTATCAGAGAGATGCTCGCGGGAGCCTTGTGCTCGTGGCGGTTCTCGAAGACAGGGGATCCGGGGCCGAAAAGGCCGAGCAGAAACAACACAATGGCGATTGGATATGCCACGCGGCAGATGCGATCGACCATGCGGATCCTGTTATGTCCGTTTGCCAGAAGGGACAGCCGCTCGTGATGGGTGCGCGTTTCGTCTGCGCTGTACTGCTCCATCGAGGCCTCTATCCTGGCCTCTATTCTGAAGAGGAACGCGGTCTCCACGATTGGCAATATGATCATGATGTAAGCTCCGCTCATGAGCTTGTCGATCCATCCGTCGTACTGCTCAGCCGGCCGCTTGTCTGCGGTGATGAACTGGACCGCCATCGCCGCCAGGAGCAGGGTGACCGAGTAGGCGAGACGGTCGCTCTTCGCGACGGGGGTGAAGAAGACAAACCAGGACAGCACAACCATCATCAGCGTGGGGCATATCAAGTTGAGCATGCATCGGGAAGAGGTGAGACTCAAGTTTAGAGGACTCGAGCTGGCCTGACGGGGCCGTCTGAAAAACGGCGGGGCCCGATCTGAAGTTCGACACGAACTCCCGCTGCAAACGTCCCACAAGAACTGGGCCGTCAAGATTCAGGACTACGGGCACGGCAAAAAGCGTCGGCTAACCCTAGTTCTGGCGAGCTCGAGTCTTACGGCTCCCCGAATGTAGTAGCGCGAGTAGCGCGCAATCCTCATGAAGTATCGGATGCCACCCGTACGCACCTCGGCGCCGCCCGGCATCGGCAGCGCCACGGCGACGGCCTCCTTGTGCTCGTCCAGCATCGTCTCGTACTCCTGGGTGATCAGGCTCGCGGTCGACATGTTGGCGGGGACCAGAGCGTACGACAGGTCGGTCCACGGGGCGAACGTCAGCGTGCACGTACGTCGAGGAACAAAAACCGGCATATTTGCTCGGAGGTGCCCGCGGGGATCTCACGGACTGGCGCGGGGCCCCCCCTCCCTGGCGCGCCAGGGCGGCCCAGCGCTGGTCCAAGAGATCCGCGCGGACCTCCGAGCGTGTATATATGTGCTCGTGCCACTGTTTTTCTTCCCCGGGTCTGGGTGTCGAACGGAAAACTGGCCATGGAGATGCTCGGCGTCGAGCCAGGGGGGAGGTGAGAGGGGGCAGGCCTCCTCAGAGGGCGGCGGGGCATCTCGGAGGCCCCCTGGCCCTCTGAGAAGCCGCCCCCGCCTTCGGGACGGGCCTCGGAGCTTCTCGGAGGGTGCACCGCCGCTGCGGCCCTGGCGACACGGTGTGCCCTGCGAGTGGATGGCGTGTCGCTCCGCTCCGCGGGGCGGGGGGCTCGGAAAGGTTCGGGACGTTGACCTCGCAGGGGCTGCGAAGTGGCCAGCGTGTTGCGCCACTGCGTGGAGGGCCGGAACCGGCCGAGGGACACGCTGCGCCGCCATCTGGCCCTGGACGCCACAGGACCCTCGGGCACCCTGTCAAGCTTCCCTGCAGGCGCCTCCCGCAAGCTCTCTGGCTGCCAGGCATGCCTGCACGCTTGCTGACACACGTCTCACACATGCCTTTCACCTCGCAGAGCTCTTCCCAAGGGAACGAAGAATGACATAAACATAAGCACTCGGAGGTCCGCGCGGATTTCTCGGATCGGCGCTGGACCCCCCTCACTGGCGCGCGGAGCGCGCCTGGGGCGGCGCCGGAGGCGCCGCCAGGGAGACCCAGCGCAGATCCAAGAAATCCGCGCGGAGCACCAAAAGTTTATGTTTACAGCGCTGTTTCTTCGATGTTACCTCGAAGAGCTCTTCGGCAAGAGGTAGAAAGGAATTCGTATCCAAAAACTCCCGACCGCAAAGGCTCGAGGGCCTCTAAGAACACCCACCTCCTGCTGAGAAGGCCTGCGCCTTGCGGGCGACTCCGAAGGGTGTGGCCTGCAAAGGGTGTTAAAAGGGCAACGATCAGGGGGGGACTGGCAAAAGGGGGGGAGCATCGACCTGGAATCGGTGATACATCGCCGATAGATCGGCGATGGGCCCCCGATCGTGAATCCGTAACTTCGTGGGCGGGGTGGGGCTATAAGACCCCTACCAGCGATCCATGGCCGATTGGAGGTCGATGCATCTCCCCTTATACCTATCCCCCCCCCCCCCCCTATCGTTGCACCCGAGGTGTGGCTTGCAAACGGCACCCTGGGGGCTGGGCGAGGACCTCGACAGAGCTCTCCGCCGAGACCCGAGGAGGCCCGACCAGCACAGCGCCGTGCCCCCCAGGCACCAACGGCGCCGATCGCAAACCACACCCTGGTGTAGCCTTGCCCTTCCCAGACGCCCGACGTCATAGTTTGTTCAGAACGTCGACCCCCAGAAGTCTCGACCCATTCCCCCGGATCGGTTGTTCATCCTGAGCCGTTTTTGGGAGGGGGGCCGGAGGCCCAGGAAGGGCCCCCAGAGGACGAAGAGATCGGAGAGCCTCCCGCCGTGACTTGCGTCAGTAACTCGAAGGGGCCTGGGCTAGCTAGTGGGAAGGCGAAAACCCACCCCCACCCCCGGTCCCGACCCCATCCTGGAACCCGCGACCCAGGGGGTCGGGACTGGGGGGTGGCTTTTCGGGGCCCAAGAATGGAGAAAACCCACCCCCACCCCCAGCCCCGACCACTTGAAGCGCCGGCTCGGGGATGGGAGTCGGGATTTGGGGTGGGGGCGACTTTTCGCCTCCTGAGCCAGTGCAGTCGCCGACCTCTCGCTGGTCCCCCCCCCCCAGGCTCGCCGCCGCGATGTGGCACTTGACCGGCAGCACGCAGGTGTCCGCCCAGAAGAGGTTGTACCTGGGCAGCCCGGGTGCGGCGCTCGGCAGGCGGGCCGCGTAGCCGTCGCCGAGGAGCAGCGCGCGCGGCGTGCTGCACGACTCCTGCCGGCGGCGAGCCCGGGGAGGCAGTCTCCTCCTCCTCCTCTTCCTCCTCCTCCTCCTCCTCCTCCTCCTCCTCCTCCTCATCCTCCTCCTCCTCCTCCTCCTCCCCCTCCCCCTCCCCCTCCCCCTCCTCCCCTCCTCTCCTCCTCCTCCTCCTCCTCCTCCTCCTCCCTCCTCCTCCTCCTCCTCCTCCTCCTCCTCCTCCTCCTCCTCCCTCCTCCTCCTCCTCTCCTCCTCCTCCTCCTCCTCCTCCTCCTCCTCCTCCCCCTCCAGGTTCCCCTCCTCCTCCTCCTCCTCCTCCTCCTCCTCTCCTCCTCCTCCTCCTCCTCCTCCTCCTCTTCCTCCTCCTCCTCCTCCTCCTCCTCCTCCCTCCTCCTCCTCTCCTCCTCCTCCCTCCGCCTCCGCCTCCGCCTCTGCCTCCCGCTCCGCCTCCTCCGCCTCTGCCTCCTCCTCCTCCTCTCCTCCTCCTCCTCCTCCTCCTCCCTCCTCCTCCTCCTCCTCCTCCTCCTCCTCCTCCTCCTCCTCCTCCTCCTCCTCCTCCTCCTCCTCCTCCTCCCTCCTCCTCCTCCTCCTCCTCCTCCTCCTCCTCCTCCTCCTCGAAGGGGCGGGCCTCCTCAGAAGGCTCGGAAGGCAACCTCCCGGAAGGCCGGAGCGCTTCCGAGAAGCCCCGCCGCCTTTTGACGGCGAGCGAGGGGGGGAACGAGAAGGAGAAGACTTTCTCAGAAGGCGGCGGGACTTCTCAGAAGCCCTGGCGCCTTCTGAGAGCCTTTCTGCCGCTGCTGGTCCTGGAAATCGCCGGCGAGCGAGGGGGGCAAGTGAAAAGAAAGCCCTGACAGAAGGCGGCGGGTCTTCTCGGAAGCCCTCGGGCCTTCAGAGAGGCTTTCTGTGTCTTCGGGAAGGTTCAGAAAACAACTTCTCAGAAGGCTTGGGGACTTCCGAGCCGTCTGAGAAGGCCCGACTCTTCTCACTTCCCCACCTCGCTCGCCGCCGAGCCTTCTGAGAAGGCCTTCTCCTTCTCACTTCCCCCTCGCTCGCCAACGATCCTGAAAGTTTGAAGGGGCCCAGGGACACACAAACCAACACACACGCACACACATATATATATATATATATATATATATATCCCAGGATTCATGTGTCAACTCTTTTCTGGACTTTCGTCTTCCCCTCCATTTCCCATATCTTCCAAGATGTTCATGTGAAACCATGTTTCTGTGTGCCTGTGTCTACTTTTCCCTCCTGGAAACTGTCGATCTTCTCCAGCAGGTCCACGTCAGGTGTCCAGATCTCTGCCGGGTTGACGGATGAGGACAGCACACCCCCACCCCCCCCATCCCCAGCCAGGGGACCACCTCCCGGCCAGATATGATCCAGGGGTCGGGGTCCTGGTAGGGGGTGGGGGCAGTTATCTGGCACCCAAGAACCCCAAAAAACATTCCCATCCCCAGCAAGGACCCTCTGGATCACCAGGTCGGGAGCCGGGGTCCTGGCTTGAGGGGCAACGATGGGGGGGGGACTGGCATAGCGGGGGGGGGGGGGAACATCGACCTGGAATCGGCAATACGTCGCCGACAGATCGGCGATAGGCCCCCAACAGCACATCCCCACGTTGCTGGGCGGGGTCGGGCCCCTATCGGCGATCGATGGACGGTTGGGGGTCGATGCGTCCCCCCCTGTGCTCATCCCCCCCCCCTAGTGTTGCCCCTGAGGGCCGGAGGCGGGGGAGGGCTGTGCTGCCCTCCCTGGAGACCGTCTCGTTGGGGCCGCCGCCCGCTTGGCCCTTCAGCGACAGCCGCGGGTCGTACCAGTACCGCCAGATGTCGGCGGCGAGCGAGGTGGGGGAGTGCGGAGGAGGAGGCCTTCGCAGAAGGTTCGGAAGTCCCCCGGCGTTCTGAGCAGTTTCCCAAGCCCTCCCCGAAGACAAACCAAAACTTCTCGGACGGCGCGAGAGCCTCCGAAGAGTCCCGCCGCCTTCCGAGAGGGCCCTCTCCTTCTCAGTTTCCCCCCCGCGCCCGTCGCCGAAGATGTCCGCGGTCAGCGTTATCACGTTGGCTGTGGCGTCCACGCTATGCAGCTTCACCAGGCGGATGCTGATCATCACCGTGTTGCCGTGCGCCGCGGGCGGCTCCTCGCGGCACGCGCGCCATATGTAGGGTGCCCTCGGCTGCGCTGAGATAAGATGTTATTGCGGCCCGTGGTTGTTAGTGCGGCCGGGTTGGTGTTAGTATGGTCAGGGTTCCTCCGGAGAGTATTCATCAACGAGTACGGTGAAGGGGGGGTCTCCAAACAGGCTCCTCCCCCCCCTTCACCGAAGAGCCTCTCGGAAGTGCCTCTGGGGCTTTCCGAAGCCACCGAAGAGCCTCTCGGAAGACCTCTGGGGCTCTCCGAAGTCACCGAAGAGCCTCTCGGAAGAGCCTCTGGGGCTCTCCGAAGAGCCTCTTCGAGCCGACGAAGAGCCTCTTCGAGCCGCCGAAGAGCCTCTTGGAGCCGCCGAAGAGCCTCTTGGAGCCGCCTCCGTCTTTACCTCCTCATTTCCTCCTTCTCCCTCCCTCCTTCTCCCTCTTTCCCACCCTACTACGACGACGACTACTATTAGTACTAGTACTGGTACTGGTACTGGTACTGGTATTGGTACTGGCACTGGTACTAGTACTAGACCTGTAACCAGTACTACTACTACTACTACTACTACTACTACTACTACTACTACTACTACTACTACTACTACTACTACTACTACTAGCTACGACTACGACTACTACTAAACTACGACTACTGCGACTAAAACTACGACCACTACTGCTACTACTACTACTACTACTACTACTACTACCACTACTACTACCACTGCCACTACTACTACTACTACTACTACTATTACTACTACTACTACTACTACTACTACTACTACTAACGACTACTAATGTAGTACTACTACTACTACTACTACTACTACTACTACTACGACAACTACGAACAGTACTATGGTTCCAGGCCGGAGTTACTGTGGCCAGTTTTGCCTGCGCGGGAATGCATTCCCGTAAGGGTTTCGAATCTCTCCAGATCTAACATGAGATACCTTTACACAGTACTTTTCATTGAACGTCCAGCGCGGGCCACAGTAACTCCAATCCGACCGCGCGACGGGCCGCACTAACACCCAACGGGCCACAGTAACACTCAACGGGCCACACTAACAGCCGATCGCCTCCCTGGGGGCGATCATCCACTCGATGGGCCGATGTTCGACCATCACTACCATAGGTAGCAGAGGGAGAGGAGGGGGAGGAGGAGGAGGAGGAGGAGGAGGAGGAGGAGGAGGAGGAAGGAGGAGGAGGAAGGAGGAGGAGGACCTCCTCATCCTCCCTCCTCCCCCGTCCTACCGATGGTAGTGGTGGTCAAAAATTGGCCCGTCCTCCACTGGGCGCGCACCAAGGCCCAGCGCCAACGGATGCGAAGAGGGGCACCCTTCTGCTCAAACAAACCTCCGACGCCGTGCCCTGTGCCCGCGTGGCTCCGACCTCTGCAGAGCCACTGGCGCCCTGGAGGTTTGCACCCCTTCCCCGGGGACCGAACTCTCACCCTGGGTCGCTCGCGCAGTCCCCGGGCCCGGCGAGGGCCCCCATGAGCCGAAAATGGCCCTCACATGCCGCTGCGCTGTCTTCAAAATGCGCCGACGAGCCATCCAGCGAACGGATGCGAAAAAGTCCCGACCCTTGCCCTATGGCCAGCTTTTCATCCCGAGGCGCCTTTTGACGGTCCCGGGGGGCAAGGACCCCCATGCAGGGAACAAGAAAAAAAAAACAAAATCCCGTCGTGAGACGTTCCCGACGCGAGCATGTCAGGGCTTTCGGGCCAGAACTCGGCTCTGGGGCAGACGTTCGACATGATCTGGGCACCAGGGGAACACCCTCGGCGAGGCGCAGCTGCTGGAGAGCATCCCGAGGCTGGAAAGCCGCCGAGAAGCGACAAAATCGCCCGAAAACAGCTCGAACATCGAACCTCGATCATACCTCGGTTCTCTGGCGGCCGTTCGGGACGATCCGGGCACCCCAAAGACGCCCTCGGCGAGGCGCAGTTGCTGAAGAGCATCACGAGGCAGGAAAGTCACCGAAAACAGACAAAATCGCCCGAAAACACTTCGAACATCGAGCCTCGATTCCGGTTCGGGACGATCCGGGCACCCCCAGCACGCCCGCGGCGAGGCGCAGCTGCTCGAGAGCATCCCAAGGCTGGAAAACCGCCGAGAGCCCTCGGAAACCTCGAGCCCCGAACCGCCGAAAACGCCCGAAAACGAACGTCATCGTCGTCGCCGCCGTCGTCGTCGTCGCCGCCGCCGCCGCCGTCGTCGTCGTCGTCGTCGAGAACCGACAAAATCGCCCGAGAACACTTCGAACCTCGAGCCTCGATTCCTGGGTCTGCACCGCCAGTCCTCTCACTTGGCCTCGTCTCTGTCATGGGGCCGTCGTGGCCGAAACTGTGCCCGAAAGTCTGCCCTGGCGTGGCCGAAACTGGCGCCCGAGTTTGTCCGAACGCGCCAGAGTGTGACAGAATTGTTTGGTTCGAAGCCAATGCGATGTGGAATTATGGTTACACTTTCGGTCGCACTGAGCTTCAGGTCACAAGTTCGGGCACGTGTCGGGCCGTCCATGTTTTTCGGTCGCATACCTTTTCGACTGATAGGGCACGGGCGCCATGAATCCTCCGGGTTGTAGTCCTTTGGTATCGCTCCCGAGGGACCCGGCAAGGGCACCCAGGGAGCCGAAAACGGCAAACGACGCGAGGTGGAGGAGGAGGAGGAGGAGGAGGAGGAGGAGGAGGAGGAGGAGGAGGAACAGGCCACCGCCGATCCTCTGCCCTCCGGTATCACTCCCGAGGGGTCCGGCAAGGGCCCCCGGGGAGCCGCAGAGGGCAAGCGAGAACCGACACAAGAACGCCCGACAGCACCTCGAAGCTCGATCGACACTCCTGGGTCCGCACCGCCGATCCTCTGGTGTGCAGTCCCCCAGACCAGCAGTACCCCATGGGGGGCCCGCAGGGGCCACCACAATAGGCAGTCGGCAACGGCAAAGAGACCCCACGAGAAGCCGAAGGAGCGGAGCTCAGCGAGAAGAACAGCCAGAGGAGGAGGAGGAGGAGAGCAGGAATATGTGGATTGTAATCCTCTGGGTATGGCCCCTCCCGTATCGCCAATACATCGATGATGCATCTGCGACGTCGGCGACGCATCGGCGACGTCGGCGTGGAGGCAAGATCGGGCCCCACACCGAGCCGCATCGCCCATGCATCGACGACGCGGTGCGATCCTCTGGCCCCATCTGCTCCGACCCCAGCTGGGAGGCCCGAATTTCTTCGGCTGCGCGCAGGAGTGACCATGGGCAGGGCGACCTGTGGTGCGCGGCTTGGAGGGGGCCACGAAGGGTCCGAACACGAGCGCGCGCAGGACGCCACCATCGCATCGCGCTCGGCGATCGGGGGACCCTGTCGGGCCCGCGCCACGGGTCGCTCCGGCGGAAGGCCACTCGTACGCGCAGTCGACTTTGGTCGCGCATGATCTGGGCTGCACTGCCGATCCTCTAGGTTTAGGTCGCGCATGTCCTCCTACGGGCGGATTCTGGAGGAACAAATTAAAAACTCGAACAAGAAGTTAAAATTGTAAAATAATAAAATCGGGGGGGGAAACAAAAAAACGTCCCCCGACAATTGTTTGACAATTTTTGAACTTTCCTCCTGTAGAGCGACGTGCCCGACTTAACTCTAGGTGGAAGGCCTCCAGTGTAGCCCCCGTAGAGGCCTGGCTAGGGCGCCCAGGGAGCCCAGCCGAACACCTCCCGGCGTGAAGTGGCGTCGCGCAGAGGGGGGGCAGGGGGAGGGGGGAAGGCTTCCTAGAAGGAGGCTGCTTCTTAGAAGGCGCTGGCCCTGTATCCATAAAGAAGGCCTGCGCGTTCTCAGAAGCACGGGTGCTTCCAAGAAGCCTTCCTCCCCCCTACCCCCCTGTGCGCGTGACTGACACGGGCTGGGAGGAGTCGACGGGGACAGAGGGTTTTCTTGTTTCCAGATGCCTGAGACGAAGCCACCCACATGATTAGGGATAGCCCTAAAACCCGAGAAGCCCGACTCGAGCCGAAAGAGCAATCGGGCTCCTGGTCGAGCAGGGGTGATTCTAAGAAGCCTTCCTCCGTCCCCCAAACCCCCCTCTGCCCGTGGCCAGGTGAGTCGCTCACGGCGCGAGGCGGAGGAGGCGGAGCGTACCCAGGCACTTTTGCGAAGGGGCCATGCCGAGAGGGAATCCGACGAGAGGTGGAGGAGGAGGAGGAGGAGGAGGAGGAGGAGGAGGAGGAGGAGGAGGGGGAGGAGGATGAGAAGGAGAAGGGGAGCAGGAGGAGGAGGATGATGAGGAGGAGGAGGAGGAGGAAGCGGAGTAGGAGGAGGAGTAGGAGCAGTGTAAACCCAAGAGGCATCAACGATGTCGGAATCAACCCTCCCTCCAGACTCCCTCTTCGTAGGCCCCGACAACGGTTCATGTGTTCTGAGGGAACTGCCTCGTTGGAAGACAACTGTTTGGAGGCCCTGAAGCATGCCAAAACATTGTTCTCGGGATTCCCACGCCACGGATCAACCTGACTGTTGCGACTTGACGATCCTGGATCGTGCCAGAACGCCGTTCCTGGAACTCGAAGACCACGAACCAACATAACTTGTTCACCCTCATAAGCCGGAATACTTCCAAGACATGATTTCTGGTACGCTGATCATGGGAATCGGTGAAACTCTAGCCACTTTTTCTAAAACGAATGTGCGCGGCGCTATAGTGAGAGCCACATGTTGAAAACCACCTGCCTTCAGTCCGTGAAACTCTTGCCAATGTTTCTAAAACGAATGTGCGCGGCGCTCAGGCGAGAGCCACATGTTGAAAACCACCTGCCCTCAATCCGTCAAAATCATGCACATGTTTCAAACGAATGCGCGCGGCGATAATGCGAGAGCCACATTTTGAAAAACACCCGCCCTCCATCTGTGAAGCTCTTGTCATGTTTGAAGCTCCAGGGTCATAAATGGTGAGGAAGTTTCAGGCGAAACGCCCGGCCTGCCCTAAAAACTGGCCTCAGGGTGCGACAGGGAGAACATATTTACCAGGAGAAGGAATGGAGGAGGAGGAGGAGGATGAGGAGGAGGAGGAGGAGAAGGAGGAGGAGGAGGAGGGAGGAGGAGGAGGAGGAGGAGGAAGAGGAGGAAGAGGATGAGGAGGAGGAGGAGGAGGAGGCGGAGGAACAGGCCAACGCCGATCCTCTGGGTTGCAGCCCTCCGGTATCACCCCATGGGGGCCCCGCAAGAGCCCCCAGGGAGCCGGAAGGGCCAACGAGAACAGACAAAAACGCCCGAACACACTTCGAGCCTCGAGCCTCGATTCCTGGATCTTCACCGCCGATCCTCGGGTTTGCATCCCTCCGCGCCAACCCAGGTCAGTGCAACCCTGGCTCCACAGGATATCCTGCAAGATCCGGCACTCTGGCCGACTTCCGTTTGCACTGACCCCTGTCCCTTGATCCCCGAGCCCAGACTCCCGACGTCACGATTTTTTCCAGTACGTCGCCCACCAGAGGTCTGGACCCATTCCCCAGGACTGGTTTTTCGTCCTGCGTCGTTTTTTGACGGTTCCAGGGCCCGGCGAGGGCCCTCAGAGGCCAAAAAATAGCAAAAAACCTCACGCCTTGACTTTTGGTCACGACCCGAGGAGGTCTGGGAGATCCTCTGGGTTGTAGCCCTCCGGTATCACCCCGTAGGGGCCCTGCTTGGGCGTCGCTTAACGGGGGGGGCGATAACTGGGGAGGGGAAACATGCACCTCTCTCGGGGGTGGACAGAACCCCCACCCCGACACGTCGATTAGTGAATTGTCTATTTTCGATTCTCGAGGGGGTGCCGCGGCCGTTATTTTCCAGGCTTGCGCCCGCCAGGTTTGGGCCCGAGGTCGTTTTCACTAGACCACGTTTTACTAAAGGAAGGTCTGTCCATCCCCGGCTCTCGGGCCCTCAAAGCCCCCTTCTGGGCCTCTGGGCCCTCCAGGGCCCCTGGAGGGCCCTGCAGGGGCCCTTGTTCTGCGGCCCTCGCTGCCGCCGCCCCCCCCCCCCCGGGGGTAGCGCCCCCCCCCCCCGAGTCCCAGACATCCGGCTGCTCCAACTTTTTTGTTCGATATGCGTGGGCCCCAGAGTTAGGTCGGGCATGTCCCCCGTACAAAGGGGACTTTGGACGAAACATAAAACACAAAGATAGCCTCACATGGTAGAACGCATTTTTTTAATAGCCCTTCGACTATTTTTTGACTATCTTTGAATCTT